AGAATCCTTGCATAATTTGGTCTCCAATTTACAGTCAATTTTGGAGTCTTGCTCATGAAAGAATCTTTGTTGAGTTAAAGGAGTCTTGTTTGAATGTAAATTAAACTCTTTTACTTGCTTATTGATCCTATAAATAATGGATGTTTTTCATTATTTTGGGTATGGCTAGAGAGTTGGTCTTAGAAGAAAATATTGTGGGTATAGTATCTTAAGACTTTTCGTACATTGGGTAGAAAAGTGATGTGGTAAAACTCGAGTTTATTTTTCTTGTAATACTTGGGGATTTGGTTGATGAGTGAAATTCTATACGATTGTAACAATTTTTCATATAGTAAAAATTTTTGACGGTTCATTTAATTTATGCAATTATATTCTTTATTTTTTCTTGTTTGCTAATATTCTCTTGAACAACAAAAGATCCTATGGATAAATAGAAATAAAAGGATTTGACATAAAATTTCCGACAACTCGTATCAGAGCGTCAAGAGGTTCGAAGTATTGGAGCAACAAAAAAATATGTCGTCGTTGTTTGAATTACACTTGGGTTAGATTCAAATTGAAAGATATATAATACTTATACATGAGTATTCTATAATTTTGAATATGAGAGTTTTATTGAATTTTGAACGTGTGGGAAATTGTTGTATGATTGTTTGAAATCAATAAAATGGGTATGGAAAGGAAAATGGAATTGGAGGCCAAAACATATATCTATGAGACTACATAGGCCAATGTTGCATGGCCCTGCCAGGAAACCAATTATGTTGTCGCATAGGTTTGGTCTATGCTACTGCATGGCGTTAAAAAAGTGGCCGTTTATGGCCGTTGTTGTTTTGAATTTGGTGACTTTTCAACTTATTTTGGAACCACTTCGTGGGATCTTGATGAGACCTATAAATAGGTGATTGAAACTCATAATAAAACACTAGAAAAACAAGTTTTGGCAATTACATTTCCATTCCACAAAATATTATCAATTTTCTTCTTCTTATTCAATCATTTCCTTTGTGATTTTAAATTTTGAAGGATCCCACTTAATGCTTGAGTGATTAATCATTTTCAAGGCTTGATAATTCCAGCAAATCATTTGCCAAGTATCCCTTAAGCATCTTGCTTAATCAGAGAGAGGGTAAATATTGTTTGAAGACTACAATATTGTGTTCGGGCCTTCCATTTCCATATTCTTCCTGGTTTATACTATGTCTTCGTCTTTGGTGGAATTGATATTCTTGGTTCTAAGGTTTTTGAAAATTAGATACGAATGACACTAAAAATGGAGTCGATTGTTGATTTGTGTAACATTTTCAATCCTTTCCCTCTGTCTTTTCAATCGATTCGTGTTTGCTAGAAGTTACTTCTACAATAGTAAATTGTAAATTCCTTTTTGGAATTGCAGGTGGTATGTTGATACAAAGTATTCCTTCTTTGTCATTCAAGAAGGTAGTGCACCAGGAGATTACATGGTTTGATAATCCTCGCAACTCAAGGCTTACTATTTCTTTGATTTTATTCAATTGATACTAAAAGAGAAGTGTTCCTGGACGCACAGCCTTGATAATCTCAAGAACCCTGCTACGGCCCTGTACTTCTACAGGTTATCCTTTCTAAGTCCCTGAAAAATAAAAAGATAAACACTCCCAAGACCCAAATGGCCTCCCTCAATTCTTCTCTAATATGAGATATTTACAGAAAGCACCAAGATTTGTTACTTCTCTATATGCTTCACTATCCCAGAGAAATTCTAGCTATGACAAAATCTTACTCCTCCAAAACACAGATAATTTTAGGAGTCGAGAGATTGAAAGAAAACAACGTAACATGAAAAAATATAGATAGAAACCACCACCATGCTACAGACTTGTTTTCTGCTCCTTTGACCCAACCAAACCCTACTTAAATCCTCTGCTAGAATACCCCGACAACCACTCTGACAAGGTGCAAAAGATTTTTAGTTTTGGTTCCGTAGATCTAAAAGATGAGGGCAATGTGCTCGGTCGATGACGAAGGCAGTGCTGATGGTTTTTGGAGTCGCGATGGCAGTGGTGGCAATGGCGTTGATGTTTGGTGGGTGATGGTGGTGCGAGGGTTCGGTAATCGTCGTATTGAAAGAGACTACTATTATTTTCTAGCATTTGTCATGTTAAATAAGTAACTTTTGAAAATATAAAAATTGTAGTGTTCTAAATAGTGGCGTCATCTAGGCGTGATGCTCGGCTAAAATGCCAAACCAAGTGACTTAGCGCCTTATTTGGCGGTCAATGGCAATCGTTGACCACTAATACGCGCCTAGGCGCAATTATGCACGCATTATCATCTTTTTTTTATTTTTTCTTTTAGATTTTGTGTTGTTAAAAAATTATTAATGGCTAATTTTTTTCATTTTGCCCTAATTTAAAACAACTTGAACTTTAGATAAGATTTAAGTTTCTATACTATTTATTTACTATTTTTGTATTAAAATTTGAACTTATCTTTTTGTTGAAAATTTGGAAAAAAATGAATAAAATTCCTATAAATCTGTTTTAAATGTTTTATAAGTATTATTTTTAACTATTAAATAATTTTTTGATTTATTAAAAATTAAAATAATATTAAAGTAAGAAAACGCCTTTTTACGCCTAAGTCACTTGGTCTCTGCGCATAACCACGCATTACGCCTTTTAGAACACTGAAAAATAGAGGTATATGTTAAAAAAATGTCATTTGATTGAGGGTGAATACTAAAAAACTTTAAAAAAGAGGGTATTTTTTTAATTTTTTGAATTAATTAAGGTTTAGGTTGGATATAATTGGTGATTCTTAATGGTTGAGGATGAATTGCTCGTTCCTTATAGATTGAGGATGAATTGGTATTTTTAATAGTTGGATGACCAAATTACATTTTTCTTATAGATTGAGGATGAATTGCTCGTTCCTTGTAGTTGGATGACCAAATAACTATAACCTTATAGTTGGAGGATAGAAATGGTGATTCACCAAATTGCTACTTCATAATAGTTGAAGGACTAAATTGTCATTTCATAGTAATTCTATCAAAAATAACTATTTCAATAATTGGAGGACATGATTGCTTTTAAAGTATAGTTGGATGGCCCTCTTAAAGTATAGTAGGATGACCCATTTGAAGTTTCCTAAAAGTTGAACAACTAAATTGTGCTTAAAATTGAAAGCTGAAGCATTAAATTTCTTTTGAAGTATAGTCAGATGACCCAATTGATGTTTTCAAAAAGTTGAAGCATTAAATTGCTTTTAAACTATAGTTGGATGATCCAATTGAAAGTTGAAGCACCAAATTGTTTTAAACTATAGTTTGATGATCCAATTGAATTTTCCTGAAAATTGAAGCACAAAATTGCGTTTAAACTGTAGTTGGATGACCCAATTCAATTTTTCGAAACGTTGAACAACTAAATTATGCTTAAATTATAGTTGGATGACCCAATTAACGTTTCCTAAAAGTTGATTTAAACTATAGTTGGATGACCCAATTGATGTTTCCTAAAAGTTTGCATTAAATTGGTTTTGAACTATGGTTGGATAGCCCAATTGAATTTTCCTCAAAGTTGAATCACTAAATTGCTTTTAAACTATTGTTGATGACCCAATAGATTTCAAGAATTTGACGGACTAAATTTTTCCACACTATATTTGATGACCCATTAGAAGTTTCATAAACTTTGAAGGATGAAATTGCTTTTAAACTATAATTAGACTACCCAAATTGATTTTTCCAAAAGTCAAAGGACTAATTACTTTTGAGCTCTAGTTGGATGACCCAATTGAGTTTTAAGAAAAGTTGAAGGACTAAATTGTTGTTAAGCTATAGCTGGATGACTCAATATTAGTTTCCGTCAAGCTGAAGGATGAAATTGATTTTAAACTATAGATGGATGACCTAATTGAAGTTTTCTAGAAGTTAAAGGATGGAATTGCTTTTTATGTATAATCGAGGGATGATTGAATTAATGTTTCCTTAAAGACGAGGGACTAAATTTCTCTTAAACTATAGTTTGATGACCCAATTGAATTCTCCAAAATGACAAATGATTCAATTGCTTTTAAACTAAAGTTGTATGGATCAACTAAAGTTTCCCAAAATTAGAAGGACTGAATTGCTTTTATACTGTTGTTGGATGACTCAATTGAAGTTTCCCAAAATCGGAAGGGTGAAATTGCTCTGAGATATAGTTGGATGACTCACTAGAAGTTTCCTAAAAGTTGAAGTATGAAGATGCCTTTAAACTATAGTTGGATGACCAAATTGCTTCTCCATCTAACTTTTAACATTAATTTGATCCTCCACTTATTCTTAAACTTTAATTTGATCCTCCTAATAACTTTAACATCAATTTGATCCTCAAACTATTTTTGAACATTAATTTGGTTCTCCAGCTAAATCTAAGTGTAAATTTTGTCCTCCAACTTACCTTAAATGACGAATTGATTGTCCAACTAATTTTAAATGTCAATTTGACCCTCAATCTTAAGTTAATCTCAACTTAGATTTTAATTCCCAAAAAAATAAAATAAAAATAAAAAATAAAAAATTACTAAATTGCAATCAAATCATTGATTAATTACTAATAGCTATACAGGTCACTTAATCCATAATTATCGTTACAAGACATTGTTGCCTAGACATACTTCCCAATGTTTATCGTGGACTTCACAAGATCAACCATAACTAAAGGAAAACATGTCACACTACGAAATAATTAAATATTTCCAGAACGTATTTTCAATACAAAGTGACATTGCAACTTCTTATATACAATTTCCTTCATTATTATTCTCCTTTCACACACCGTAAAATGCAAAGGAATATTATGTTATCAATTTGGGCCAAATAAAGGATAAATGGACCAAGACTAAAAGCCATCCAATAGGTAAATATATGTGGGTCGTGAGCATCATTATTTTCTTATTACAATTCCATGACCAACACACAACAATCTCCAATGAATTCTACATATATATATATATATATATTAACGCAGAAAGAAATCAATAATAAACTTACTTCCAACATGTTATTAATATCAGCTGAAGTTTTCCATTATGAAAAGACTTGCCCAATTGTATAATAAAGAAAATAACCAGGCATGATCGAGAACTCCACAAAGGACTTGAAGATGTGTAAAGCCGCATGTAATTATATCTATAAAAGATCCAAAATTCAGGAACCATGCTATATGAACCCGGTCGACTTTTAATTCTTCCTCAATATTCCAAGCCTCTTGCGGAAATCCTCCTCCATGAGGGGAAGCCCTTCACGCAACTTGACTTTTGGTTCCCAGCCAAGCAACTCCTTTGCCTTTGTTATGTCAGGCTTTCTCTGGCGAGGATCGTCTGGTGTATTTTCCACAGTTACAATTTTCACATCTGAATTGATAGTCTATAAAGGCACAGAAATCGTGAGTTAGTTTCAGAAAGCCATTAAGTGGATATCTGCTAGGAATGACAACCACCAGGGAGCTAAATAGAATCTTTAATAACATAATGAGGTACTTTTATACGAAGTAGGAAAACATTGATGCCGTCTAGATTGGCAGTTCTATCTAGGAGATTGCCAAGTACAACCAAACCATGCACAAGCTTTAGAAGTTACCTCCTTGACAGTCTCAGCAAGCTCAAGCATTGTGAATTCACCTAATAAAAATTCAGAACATAAGAAATTGTAACAAAATATTTTTCAGCAAACCTAGACTTCATTCTGGAGAGTGAGAGAGAGAGAGATGCAATAATTAATACGAGATTGGCATTTCAGCATCAGAATTCTTGGTCGACAATCAAGTGACGGTAATAATTACCTGGATTCCCAATGTTGATTGGCCCAGTGTTATCTCCTTCCATCAGTCGAATAAGACCATCAACCTTAAACATCCCAAAGAAATTAGATGAAGTCCAGATACGATATTAATATGGGGTTCTAATTGAACAACCAAAATAATAGGATACTCTGACGTACCATATCAGAGACATAGCAAAAACTTCTTGTTTGTGTTCCAGGCAACTGAACTGTCAAAGGTTCATCACTGCATGGTACATCAATTTAAATAAGTGAATCCGAACATAATTTGCCTATCAAATAGAGGAGCTGAAAATTAAGGTATATATATAAATTGGTAGTTGGTAGTGAACTGGCATTAGGAATATGGTAATATTATTGATAACAGAATAGCAGCTTCGTAATGGAATAACGATCCACTCATGCATTTTGTAACAATAAACAGGGTCTAGCACCATTGCATCAGGAGAACATTATGGTCCGTTGCTTATAGATTTCCCTTAACAGCATACCGTATTGCTTGAGCTATGAAATTGCTGACAACCCGGCCATCATCAATATTCATTCGGGGGCCATAGGTGTTGAAGATCCTTGCAATCCGTATTTCTGTCAAGTCAACATTTCAAATTGGTAAGAAATGTCGAAATATATAGAGATAGCTATTAAATATAAGGATTCCATAGCAGGTGAAAAAAGGGAGGGACTTGTACCAATTCCATGCTGCCTGTGATAATCAAACATCAAAGTTTCAGCTACCCTTTTTCCCTCGTCATAGCAACTTCTAACTCCTGCAATGTACATAAAATATAATCAGTGTTCCATAAAAGTATGCCCTGCATTTCTTGGTTCAAACTCTGCACCAGAAATTTTAGTAAGAGACTGAAGTATTAAGTGAGACTCTCCTCCTACATATATTCGATACTCGTAAATATAGTCTATCTAATGTTAGAGAAGGTGAAAGAAGAAATTCAGTAAGACGCTGACATTAAGGAAATAATACCAAAATTCAAAGGTTCAACGTCTCGTAATATACAAGGAACCAGATACTCGCAAACGATAGACCTGCTCAAGTTTTCATTTCGAACCATGCCCATGGTAGAGGCTTAAGATAATATTCTCCCTCTTATTTTTTTAAAAATCAAGGCTTGCATCTTGAGGTGTCAGGTGAGGCCTTCAGCAAAAGCCTCAGTGCAAGTGGCTTGAGGCTTAAGCCTCTTGTCGATCAGCGCCTTCTTAGTCTTGACCTTTGCGTGTTATTAACATCAACTTCTGGCACTAGTTTTACATAGCCTAAAATGTTTTAATGGTTTTTTGAGCTGTTTTATAAAAGCTTAACCTTAAAAGATAGAAAGAAGAGAAATTTATATTAGAGAAGACAAGAAGTGAAGCTGGACTTTTGTTATCCCCTGCTACTAAAATGCAATAAGCCCCCAGGCGACGTATTTTTTCACTAGTAGACACAGCAAAAAAAGATATCTAAGACATAACTCCATTATTTTCTTTTATATTTTTCCCGTAGTCCTACTATCTTATTTTCTTTTTTTAAAAGAAGTTAAAGCAAGAAAATTTCTTAAATAATTGCTCAGTTGTGTAAGTTATTTTAGAATTTCAGTTGTAGTCATGAATTAGAGGCCTTTTTATTTGATAGCTACTTTAATATTCACTTTCTTATTATTCTATTTCATGTTTCTAGTTGCAGTCAGAGTTTTAACTTTATTGAAATATTATATTTTTGATTTTTAGATTTTATTTGAAGTTTTACATGATAATATCGATGTATCCTTATGAATTATTTTACTGGTTCATGATGAAGCTTACAACTTAAAGCACATGGCACCTCACTTAACATAGGCAAAATGCCTTGATAATAAATTTATCCTTTTTAACAATGCTCCTGCTCACTGCCATGAAACACGTGTCTCAAGTTATTATCTAGCTATCAACCCACTGTGACTTGACAAGTTCTCAAGCATCTCTAAACAGAACTTTTGGCAGATGAACAGATAATTTTGGGGGAATCATAATACCTATAGGATTCACATTGCCCCAATAGCTCTCATCCTGAGGATGCACAAGAGGGTCACCATAAACCTCTGATGTTGATGTCAGCAAAATCCTGTATATATAGTAAGATTAGTGAAATCACTACCACAATATACAAAATCAAACTAAATATGCTAAAAAGCCAATTCAAACCTCGCTCCAACACGCTTGGCAAGTCCCAACATGTTTAGGGTCCCAATTACATTTGTTTTTATTGTCTGTTAAGCATCAGAGAAAGAAGGAAGCCAGTATAAATGTCTTCGTCTGATCTTAAAAAGTGTGTTTCCAGCAACACCAGAAAGATGTCATCTTTGAACTTCATTTTACTTCCTTATGCAGAGAAAAAATTTCATAACATAAAAATGAGAAAGAGAGAGATTATTCTCTGGTGGATGACCTTCACGGGATTGTATTTGTAAAAAATTGGGGAAGCAGGACAAGCAAGATGGTATATCTGATCAACTTCAATTAGCAATGGCTCCGTGACATCTGCATAAAGAAAGGACTAATAGGATAAGAAAGTGATTCACAGAAAACTATGGCCTGGAGGAATCAAGGACATTCAGAATGCTCAGTGATAGAAGCAATGAAGAGAGGAAAACTTGTCTGAGATATCAGGTGTTGATGGTTATTATACATAGTTTCCAGTTTTGATGCGCTTTTTAGGAAACATAATTAGGGTTTGATTTAATAGCTTTCATTGTATAATTCCTACTTAGAATAGAATCATTGAAACCTTATATAAAGGGATATTATGCTTTGTAATAAAAGAAACTTTGATATATGAAATAATACTTCAATTTGGTAACAGAGCAATTTGTTTTCCTTTGACTTTGTTAAGATTTGGGGTTTCATCTTAAAATATCTATCTTATTAAGAGAAGTAGCTTAAACCCTTATAAATTGGTCTATGTTTTCGTCTTTATTCGATATGGGATTTTATCCCTTAACATGCATCCACAAAATGGTGGCTCGTTTGACCAGATCAATTTTGAAATTCGATGCTCATTTTTTGTGTCTTAATCGAATGGAATTGCTCGTTAGAACTTAATGGGCTCTAATACCAAGTTAAGACTTGTGATTTTATCTTAAAAGATTAGTCTTAATAAAATGAGTAACTTAAGCCCTTATAAATTGGTTAATGTTTTCATCTTTATTCGATGCAAAATTTTATCCTTAAGAGTCTAACATCCTTATTCTCAAATCCTAAAATCCACCAATCATTTCTATCCAATCCATATACAGACTCCCTACTACACCACCACAACCACACATTTCGCACCACCCATGAGTTACATATGCAAATTCCCATAGCATCCTACGTCACATATAATTTACATGACCAGCAAGTGAGGATGACAGCTAAACCATATTGGAGTGTAAAACGGAAATCTTATAATTTTTATAAAAGCCTACCATGACGGATAAGTTCAAATCTCGGATGACCAATCCATTGGCTTAGGTTGTCCTTTGAGCCAGTGAAGTAGTTATCCACAACAATCACCTGAGTATAATAAAATATATTCATGTAACGTTTGGCTACAATGCATGTCCTTGTGAATAGAAGTGTTATTTATTTTACTGCAGGATAAGTTCCAAGGATATCAATCGTCAAAAATTTTTGTTGCTGCACAGAAATACCTACCTCATTCTTCTCATTTTCCATCAGTTTGTCAACTAGGTGAGAGCCAATGAACCCAGCTCCACCGGTAACCAAAATTCTCATGTTTGCCTGTCATAAAGGTGTCATTTAGCATACTAAAAACCACATTGCCAAAACTTAACGGGAAAACGTCAACGGTCCTGGGTAGGAAGAAAACAGTGAATTGAAAAGAACTATTTAGCAAAATTTGTATATGCTCGAAAGATTGACAAAAGAACTCAACTTTCACCAAGTCCTCCTATATGGAAATTGATGCATATCTAGTGCTTGTTTGAATAAAATTATAAGTTGTTGAAATTATAATGTGAGAGATATGAGCGGTCAATAAGTGGACACTGACAGTAGTTGTGGGTCTTCAAATTGTGTCATTAAAATTAACATTTGACCTTGACTATTAAATTATAAGAAAACTATAATGTTTCCCAAACATGCACCGAGTATACCTACTTTTAAAAGAAAAGGAGTGGTAAATAAAATTCTGTTCCGCATTGGGAACCTCAGTTAAAATAAATACATGGACATAACCATCAATCTTACAGCGTACACAAGAAATGAGGAGTCCCATTGCAGTTAACTGTTAAATTATTTACCAGACTACCAGCTTGGAATCACCACCATAACCACCACAAGAAAAGAAAGAAAAATAGAGATGCGTAATCAAAATAAAAGGATCAAAGCAAATAAGTTTTCGTATTTTTTTCATTTCATGATACAACGGCAGTTGATAAGAGAATGAAGTTCTCATTGAGTGATACATTAGTGATTGAGCCACCCCTGCATGCGAAGAAAGAAAGTCAGGTTCACGCAGTTGATCAAAAAAAATATTTCTTTCCCTTTGTTTATGACAGAGCAACTGAATGAAGCAATGCGCAGCCTCTAAGATTATGAATAAGCTATTCATTTTCCATCCTATTAAAGAAAAGACCTTCGGCATGATAGTAGTAGAGTACAAACTGAGATTTTTTATTTATTTATTTATTATTTTTTTTTTTATAAGTAGAGTACAAAGTGAGATTAAACTTGCAATAGAATCCAAAACCCAGTGATATTCAGTCAAATACAGGTCTTAGAAATTTAGAACCTTATGGTCATACAACACTTACTGCAATTAGTTAAACACAACTAAAAGAGCCATACAATGTTTATCAAAAGCGACCCCAATAGAAAGAAAAATGTACACCAGGGACATATAATGAGATCTGGAATTTAAAAAACCTAGTGTTTATCATGAACCATATTAAACCTGAAAAAATTTTGCTTTTCTCAATGGCGAGGGCTCTGGAGGAGGTTTTCTAGTAACATGGTTATCTCCATTTGATGCATCCTTGGCCATTTGTTAGATTCCTCTGAATTCAAAACCAATTAGATCAAAATTAGCATCCTCAATGATATAATCAGTCCCACTCCAAAATGCCCTCAGTTCAATGCGAACTACTTCATAAATGCATAAAGCATGACAAGATCATCTTCTTTTCCTTAGTAATACCAACAAGAATATCCAACTCGTAATTTTTACAAGCATAGACAGCATTCATACAAGTAAATCCAGAAAGCAATAAAAATAAAAGAATATATGGAATTCTTCTGAAGGATTAACCCCGGTATCATTCTATAATTTCAATGCAATTCCAAAATAGATCATTATATCATAACACCAAAAAGGGGAAAATAGAAAGCAATGTATGTCCCTTTACACGGATCAGTGTAATGAATTTCCTACTTGCATCTTTATACACCAAACGCAGATTTGAAAAACTTAAAAGACAAAAAGAAAATCTCTCTTATTAGTGTATCCCCACAAGGTATCATATTTTCTATCAAAATTAACAGAAGATCAAGTTTCAAACGCATAATGTACTTAACAAAAATTCCAACTTAATTCTTCTGCACTAATGCAACTTAACACGGAGATTATAGCAAACAATCTCAAAGCTAAGAATAAAAGAGTTCTTCCTTTACCAAATAATATAATTTGGGTACAGAGAAAAATTATAGCATATAATCATTACAAAATTAAAAGTAAAATAAAAGATTTCAGTAAAATGGAGCTCCGATCACCCACTTTATCAATTTAACACTTCACCTCCAGCAGTGGTGACAATTGCAAAGACTTGACCTTTATATACAAAATTTGAAAACCTAAAAAAATAAAATTACAAACTACTCAATTCAATTCAACAACAAAACACGAAAAACACGCCTGCAATCATAAATTTCCATTACCAACTGGCAAGCGAGAGAGAAATGAATCTTAAAGATTACGTCAAGTCGGTGCCGTAATCAATAATGCTTAATTACAACGCAAAATCAGATCTACATATTGGCATTTATGTAACCGGCAACTAATTAATTACCTTTTAATTAGATTTTAATAATCACCGATTCTATATTACTTCTGCACGATCCAATATATTCCTACAGAGACCAGATTTATAAATGAATAAGGTAAGCACAGCGCTGGTAGTAAATGAGTAAAATTCTATTGGATTTTCTAATCAGATTCCATGTCCCTTTTGCACCACATTTTGATTCTATGCGAAGGAAAATAATAATGATATAATTATTGATTATTATTTTGTATTATGTTTTATGTAGTTTAGAAAATTTATTTTATTCCAATTTTAAAAACATTGGTTATTAATAATACGCATAAGTCTATTAATTTTTTTTACTTTCTTCTCTTTTTCTATCTAATTTATAACACGTTATCAACGCGATAGATCAATTTTTTTCAAAATCTAATATTTTTTATGAAGAGGAGAAAAAATGTAGTAGACCCTCCTGAATTTTTCGACAGAGAAGACTTGAAAATCTAGGGTGGATCTCTAATATGTAATTTTAATAATAAGTTTAGACATACTTTATATAGTGAAGATAAATAGTTAAATATTATTATAGATTTACTTGTAAATTTAAGAGAAAATTTAGAAAGGAGTATAAACTTTATTAGAAAATATAAATAAAAATATAAAAATTTTAGAAACTAATCTAGAATATATTAAAAATCAAAACACCGAAATACTAAAAATAAAATCTAATAATATAGGAGAAACAAAATTTAGTTCTAACTTAGAAAAATTGGAAAGCATGGTTAAAGCATTAGAAAAGTATATAGATAATAGACAAGATTTAGATAATATATTAAATAAACTAGAAAAAATAGATTTAAGTAAAACTAAAAAATCTAGTAGATTTAAGAAAACTAAGTGAATTTATACATAATGGATAAAGGAAAATAAATCGTAGCCAGTAGTAGTAAACTAGTAGGTAATCCTTTATTAAGAACATTAAGTAGAAAAACAGAATCCGAAACAAGACTAGAATCTCTAATAGATATAGAAGAACAAATAGAAATGTTTAGACAACATAAACTAAAATTAGTAAAAACTTTAGACATATTTAAAAAAGGAAAATTACTTAGCAAATATTTAATATATCAGCATTATGGAGAAAGATATATTTTCCGTACACATGAAGATCAATTTATATCTCTAGATTTAATAGAAAAAGAATCTTATAAAGAAATTGTTAATAAAAATATTTAATAGACTCATTTAAGATTAATAATAATAGGAGTAAAATGGCTTCATAGAGAAAATTTAGGAACTAAAATATTAGTATGTTTGTATGATAGTAGATTCACAGATATAGAATAACGATTATTAGAAAGCGTATAATTAGATATGAATAATAAATGTGGAATAGTATATTTTACACTAAACTATTTAGTTAGAACAAAGAATTTCTATAAAGATATTAAAATAGGAATAAAAACAAAAGGATATCAAATGAAAAGAGGTGATGATAATTTATTAATTTGCACAGGATTCATAAAAAGATTTAGTGAAAATAGTACTACTAATTATAAATTAGAAAATAATCAAATAATTACATTATTATGACAAAGAGGTATAAGGACTATCCCAGCAAAGAAATTCTCTTCAGAAACATATGCAAAATTAGATTGGAACTTAGGAAATTTTCTACAAAAATCAATATTAGTACCAGGAAATAATATTATATACTAAAATAGTAATGGAACTTTAAGAATTAGATTTGAAAATTATAATTATCAAGTAGAACAGACATAGTATAATGAGGAAGAAAATGAAGGAGAATGTGGATATTTTGAAATAGAGGACTACGAAAGTGAAGATGAAATTAATGTCTTAAATGAAGATAGTGAAGAATATGAAAGCGAGGACGATGAAAAAATTTGGATATATAGATATAGAATATTATAGAAATCTTAGAAAAGTTAGAGAAATAGAAACTAAAATGTTAAAAGAAAAAGATCAAGTAGACATAGGAAGCAGATGGAAAAAATAGCAAGAGAGTTAAAATGGATACAGATCAAGAATTTGGGCAAAAAAAAAAAAAAAAAAAAAACCTATGAATACAAAATACGATATAGGAGGTAAATATCCTTTTCCCTTGCAAGAGACTTTGAATGGATTGATAAAAAATATAAAAGTTTAGGAAAAAGACAAACGGAAGAAGAATGTAATTTACCATTAGCAAACGATAAAGGATTAATGTTAGAGTTAAATAATTGTAAACTACAAAACAAACCTAATACTATAACTAAATGGGAAAATTATGTAATTAGAGCATATAATAGTGTACCTAGAAGAAATGTGGGCTTACTTAGAAACTTATTTAGGAAAAACTACTTTAGATGCATACGTTATAGCAAAAAGACTAAAATTAGATGAAATTAGATTAAGAATTGCTGGATGAGATAATCCTAGAAATTTTAATTATAGGTTTTGATCTCAATAAAGATAACACGAATAAAATAAAGTTTTAGAAGACTTAGAAAAATTAAGTATTAGTAATATGAAATACATACAACCATTTTGTTAGACTTTGAAAAATTAGCAAGCGTAGCAGGATTAACATTAGATTACCCTATATTTGAAAGATTATATAGAAAGATACCAACACCATGAAATGATAAAATTAGAAAAGATGTAGAGTCAAACCCAACAACGGAAATAACTATTAGTTTCCATCATAAAATTTGTAACTAATAAATTAAAAGAATATTTGAGTAGAATAAATAGCTAGAAAGCAAATAAAGAAATTAAATTATTCTTTTTCATCAAATTTATATACACCACAGGCATATGATTACAGAAGAAGAAGAAGAAATTATATAAAAAAAAGATAATATATATATATATATATATATATATATATAAAAGGCAATATCAAAATAAAAATAAAAATAATATTAGACCAAGTAGAACATACTATAAAAATAAAAAACCCAATTATAATAGATATGTTAGAAAACCAAAAACTAAAAAAGATTGTAAATATTATATTTGGGGAGACATTAGACATTTTGCTAATAAATGCCCAAATAAATATATAAATAAAGAAAAAACAGCTAAATCTATGATAATTAAAGAAATACAATGTAACATAATAGAATTATCTGATAACGAATCTTGTAGCTCAATATATAGTATTTACACAGATGAAGAGTTAAATAATTTAAAAATAACAAGTAATTCTGAAGACAGTTATGACAATTTAGAAAAACTAGATTTTTCAGTTTTAGATATAAATATGATGAATGTAGAATAAGAATGTATCCATGAATGGATTAGAGGACAATGATCAATGATGAATAAATGTAAAATATATCCAGGACATAAAAATAGAAATCAGTGTAAGAATTATCTAAAAATTCAATGCAATAATTGTTTAGGGATTAAAGAAGAAATAAACAATAATAAAAATAAAGACTATAGTGAAAGTATAGAAAGATTAGAAAATAAAATAACAGATACAAATAATAGAATAGATAAAATACACAAAACAATAAGAGAAATACAATATAGGATCAGAAATATAGAAACAAAGGGAAAACAGTCTATAGATAATTACACAAAATAATTATTAGGAAACAAAAAATCAAGAAGAAATAATTTATCAAATATCTAAAGTAAAGACGACAAAAAGTATCAGAATACCTATATAAGTACAAATAAACAAAATGATTAAATTAAATTTAATAGCATTAATAGACACAAGTTATACATTTAATATAATCAGAAAATATTTAGTGCTAGAAGACTGTAGACAGGAATTAGAATATGAAATAAGAGGAAGTCAAATGGACGGTGGTAAAATAGGATTCGAAGAAAGACTTTTTGACGATTGTAAGATTAAATTCTAAAAAAGACAGTATAGTTTAACGACTACATTAGTAAGCGCATTGATAAAAGATGAATTTGTTATAAGTATAAAATTCTTGCTAAGTAGAAATGGAAGTTTAATAATTACTCCTGATGTCATAATTTTTGAAAAAGACAAAAAAGACACTTCTATTATTAATAATATAGGATCATCAAAGTTGAGCTAAGCGTTATGAACCCTTACAATCAAAACTAGAACCAAACCCAAAAATTGAAGAAAACTTAAAATTTTTATCTTTACAAACTTTAAAAACAAATTTTATACCAAGAAATAAAGAATTAATAATTTTTAACAAGACATCTTCTAAAACAGATAGTATAAACAAAATTTTAGAATTAGCTGAAAAATTCAAATAATAAGAAAAGACTTTATAAAACATTGGGACAGAAATAAAATAGAAACTAAATTAGAAATAATAAGTGAAAATATAAAAATTAGAATAGCAGAAATAAAACGTATGAATCAAGATATAGAAGATTTTAACATACAAATTAAAGAATTATTAGATTTAAAAGTAATAAGACCGTCTAGTAGTCAACACAGATCAGCAACTTTAATGGTTAGAAATCATAGTGAAATAAAAAAAGAAAAAGCAATAATGGTTATAAACTATAAAAGATTAAATGATAATACTGTAGAAGATGGATATAAGATATCAGATAAAGATATGCTAATAAATAAAATACAAAATAGCAAGATATTTTCTAAATTTGATTGTAAATTTGAATTTTGGCAAATAAAAATGGCAAAAGATTATATTCCTTGGACATCTTTTACTATTCCATTAGGACACTTTGAATGGTTAGTCATATACCTTTTGGATTAAAAAATGCACCTTCTATTTTTCAAAGAAAGATGAATAATATATTTGATTCTTTTCCATTTGTTTATGTATATATAGATGATATTCTAGTACATAGTACAAACTATAAAGCACATATGAAACATCTAGAGATAACCTTCAATGAATTTATAGAAAATGGTTTAATTATACGTAAAAAGATGAAAATAAGTAAACAAAAAATTGAATTTTAAGGAATAAATTTAGGAGAAGGAAAGATTCAGTTACAACCGCATATAGTCCAGATAATTTTATAATTTTCAGATAAAATTGAAGAAACCAAGAAATTACAAGTCTTTTTAGGAATATTAAATTATGCTAGATATTTTATTAAAGATTTAGGAAGGAAAGTAGGACCACTGTACAACAAATTGTCCAGTTAAGGACAAAGATATTTTAATCAATCAGGTATAGAATTAGTTAAAAAGATAAAAGTAGAAATTAAAAATTTACTGCCATTAGAATTACCATTAAATAATG